GAGAGAGAAATTTTTGCTATGAGAGTCCAAAGAGTAGTGAAATAAAAGATTTGAAAATTAAATCGTACGTTAATCATGTGAGGCATCTTGTTAATCCAGGACATAATGTTAGAAGATTAGAGAGGGCGAAAATCATCTTGAATTAGTTAGATTCGTGAATGATATATATATATATATATATATATATATATATTAAAAAGAAGAGAGGTACCGCAAACGTTTTCGGTTGTAATGTGGATATTTTTTTTTTAAATATTATGCTTTATTTTCCATAATTTATGGAAAATAAAGCATAATATGTTTAAAAAAAATCCACATTACAACCAAAAACCTTGATACCTCACTTCTTTAATATACACACTTTTCTCTCGTTCGAGCCACTATAACCTCTTTCTTATATATATATATATATATATATATATATATATATATATATATATATATATATATATTTGGCATATGTCATTGCCAAACAAACAAAATCAGACAGTGATTAATGTAAACAATACGTGGCGCCAGTATAGGGACGTACGGATAATGTGTTGTATGAGAATGACTTTTTTTTTTCTTAGAAATTTATTTCCAATATTAGGGTGCGTCTTCTAAGCCGCAGCGTCTTGTAAGCCGAAAAGTACGATATTTTCGAATACATAGGGAGGTGTTTCTATCTCTATCGTTTCTTTTGCACATCTATTTTAATGAAGATGGTGATGACTTGTCTAACCGAGTGTTTTCTATTAATTAATACTAGCGTACTGATTGGAATTCATCTCATGATTATCTTTGCCACGGTCTTTTGGAGTGAACATTTTAACCTACTGAGAAACGTGGCGTCCTCGTTACAGAAGTAGAGCTTAAAATGTGGCGTCCTCGTTACAAAGTAGACCTTAAATTATGATTATTTAAAAAAAAATGTTTCCATCGCGACACAGAAATCACTGTGTTTCGAAACTGAAATTCAAGAACTAAAGTTTAATTTCAAAATTAAACTTTAAACTTAGATCACAGCTTCATTCGCAAGCGATGTTTAGAATCATTAGGTTCTAAACATCATTCGAGAATGAAACTGTTTAAAAGTTTAAAGTTTGATCTTGAAATTAAACTTTAGATCTTGAGTTTCAGTTTCGAAACAGTAATTTCTGTGTCGTGATGGAAACATTTTTTTTTTTAAATAATTATAAATATTTAAAGATATGGTTGTGGTACAAAATTTTATAACCGCCATGAAAAGACAAAATTTATTTTTATTAGCACTCATGAGGATAATAGATAAAAAAAATGTAAAACTGAAAAACGCTCTAGCTAACCGGTTTCGAACCTCCCTCAACAGAGCTAAATCGAGGTTAATAATTTATAATAGAATTATCAGTAAAAAGAGATGAATAATATGTATTGGGGGCCGGGAGAAAAAATATTGCTTAGATGGAAATTAGTTGGAGGCCCAGTACGAAGCAGAGAGAGCTTCAACGATAAAATATAAATGGCCTCCAACACTTTCAAGTCGTAATTCGAGTGGGACTTGCTAAGAATGATAAATGAGTCCACACTGAAATTAGTGGCACAATTATGGCTATTTGTTTGTGTGATAAAGATATAGTTTTAAGTTATGCTATATTTATCTGTGAAACTGTTCAATACCAAGGATAGAGCATATGTAAATATAAATATAAACATACAATAGTCATTGGTGTTTCCGGCGATCTGCTTGGTGTTGTACTTTGTGTTCACTTGGGCTCTCATCAAACAAAAAATAATACTAATTTGAGATAAAACTTTGATGAATATCTTTTGTAAACACCTTTTGATGAATGTATTTAGAATTTTTTTTCTTTTTGTCTCCGTAAACAGAAATCTGTTGATCGCACTTCTTTCGCAAGGGAATCTTTCACCATCTCCGCCTCAGCCCAGTCAATAGATAAATCAAACAGATTGTTCAACAAAGAACATTTTTTACGCGCTCTCAAACTACGAAATGTCGTGGATCATTTAAAATAGGTAACGGCAGTGGATAGGAGACAGAATTTCATTAGTGCTTCTCTCTCTCTCTCTCTCTCTCTCTCTCTCTCTCTCTCTCTTTTTTTATTTTTTTATAGAATGGCACAATTTGAAGACGTCGTAACGATCGAAAATGAGTCAACCAACTGAAAAGAAATATGTCTGGAATAAAATGTCCTTTTATGACGGCTAACGATTGCCGTTTTTTAGGAGTGACTGAATCGAGATAGAAGCTGCTTCCCATTACTCTGACAGCATTTTCTTTACAGACACGTCAAATTGACAGCCTCATTTTGGTTTTGGCGCTGTTTTGTCTTCGGTGGCAGCCTCGTTTCCATTTTATTTTTTTTGTTTTCATCGCCATTTTTTCGCGCTTTCCTGTTCCGCATCATTACACTCTTTTTGTATATATCCCTTTCTTCGTCTTTTCCCGCCTTTTTTGTTTTCCGCTTTTCTTTTTTATATTCTTTATGTCATGTTTTTTTGGTTTTTTTTCTAGCTATTT